TTCAAGCTCAAAAATCTTTGGTTCATGTATCACGTCAAAACTGAGTTCAAGTCTCCTTGAAAGGCAAAATAGGATATGCACTTTAAAGCACATTCTGAGAATTCCTTCAGGTATTAGCAGGACTAAAATAGTTAGATTAGCCTTTCTTTTATTCACCAATTCATGTAGCTTTACTTTAAAACACTGAAATTTCATCTCATTTCAAACCTTAAATCACAAGACAGGCCAATGGCCAAAAAACTCCTCAGCGTATGAAATATTTTGTATTATAAGATATAAGAAAGGGCAAAGTATAAAACGTGCGATTCAAAAGTTGTTTTTTAAAGAGTTCTAAAATTCTAAAAGGTTTAGCCTTGAGGTTTGGCCACCATTTTACAAGTTCCTAAGATTTTTCTCTGCTAAAAGGAAAGTGATTTTGATCACTGGTACTTACAATGTATACTTTTAAACAATTTGTCAGAGTATAGTCAGAAGTGATGGCTGGAGACTAAATTAAGAATTACCTTTACGACTACGCAGGTATGGAGGCTATAAAACTGCAGCCAATGCTACCAGTAATAAGCAGTGTTTTAGTTTGTTAAATAAAGAAGCAAGCATGCCTTGATCACATGCATCTGCAGCCAGTTAATGTGTGACTTGCTGTGACATGCTCGTGTATGAAGCCAGAAAAATAAAGAAATAAAACAGCAGAAAAAAAAACTCTCATGCAATCAGACAGCTTCACGAATGCATGAAGCAAACCTTCCACCATCGATCCAAAGACTTTGGCTTCACTAAATTAGTCACCTGCTTAAATCATATTTGAACATAAAAACACTCCGTGGAATGGGTCCATAGAGGCCTGATGATAACTGAGTATAAACACATAAGTGTCTGGCGCTAGAGCAGGTCTGCCAGTCTTTTATAACATAACACAAGTTCCTATTTGAGAACAATGAATGCCATTAATCAAACATTTCCCGGGATTGTGTGCAAACCTGGGAAAACTATATACAAATCCAAACAATCAAACCAGAAAAACATTGAAAGTTGACAGCAAAAGAACTAGGGAGTAACCCTGCAAACATGCTACAACGAGTCAGGCCGTTGCTTTGATTGTCATTCAAGGTTGGATATCAGCAGAATGTTCAAGTGGAAAGTAAAAATCTTCTGTTCACTTGTGACCTGCACCATTTAGAATCAGTAAATGTTGGAGGTTTACAGCTCAATAAGCGAATAAGCTACTAATGTCAGAAATAACTGTTTACAGCTGATTATTATAGCACACAGTTTAATGTATGAGGGTTATCCTCAGACAAGTGGATGATGAGTTTAAATGTATTAAAAGCTCAAAAGTTCTCATGTGAAGACAAAAATAACAGTTTCATATTAAATCTAAAATGAACGCCATGTGCAGAAAATACAATTAAATGCAATAGAGCTTGTGTTGGTGTTGGGAAAAACCCTCACTTCTTTTGTAGGTCATGCAGACTCTGCTCAGCTCTCTGCAGGCCCTCTAGGTCCTTCATCATCTTCTTCATATGGTCCTTAGAGTAGCGGTTCTGGATGTAGGCAAACCAGCATCCACCCATGCCTATGACTATTGACACGACCAGCATGAAGTCCTTCAAGTGGTTATGTCTATTCACTGAAAGAAATAAAAACGACATGAGGTTACATTTTAGTAAGACAAAAAACTAAGTCATTAAGCAGGCCTATAGATGAGGAGATGCATTTTGGTCAGCAACATGTATTATAGGATAATGCTGTTTAACAACACAGAAATTTTACAAGAATGTGGTGTGAAACTTGAATCTCATAGTCATATTGCAACTGCTGTGGAGTGACACAAATAGAAGGCTCACCAGCACAATTTCAGGTTGCGGTGAGAGGGACCCAGTGCAAAAGACCACGATAAAGACAGCTTAACACGACCTATTTTAATCTGGGGAAGCTATGAAGCTAAAGCTCAAACTTGAGCTGCAACTATAAGTATTCATTGACGTTATCGCTGTGATGGTTTTATAGATTTTCAGAGTCACAATAGCTTGGAATCAAGTATCCTACTTGTAAGAACACATCCCATATTCAGATCCCTTTACAACCACTAACAGAATAACTTAAAGTTAAACCCAAGCTGGGAACTAACAACAGTTATCTGTCATTTGAGGAGTCAAAGAAATAACATGCATGCAGCAGCTAGCGTAGTTTCTCAAAGTTTTGCAAGTTACACAAGTTTTTCTTGCAAAACCTGAGTAGGAGTATACAGGAAAGAACAGTATACTTCCTGGAGTGAGACAAAGGGAAGTAAAATGAATGTATCAGTAGATCGTGCCAGCTCGACACACAATACTTCTACAACAGAAGCTGTAAATCTCAAGTACCTGTACAGCTCAAGTCTTATCAGTTCCACTGAATAAGTAAGAATAACAGGAATGCACTTTGCATACAATATATCCATATTTTTTAGTCTGACCTGCATGTAGCCTTGGAGGGCAGAAACACAGTTTTTAAAATGAAGGCCAACACTGGACAATCCAGAAGTACAAGCCTGTAAGTTTTTTACCTGTTCCAGGCCAAATATTTAGACCACCTGTCAGAATAAGATGAATAAACAGCAAGTTGTGGGCACTTGAGAACCATGCATAGTAACCACAGAATTGTAATCACTCCCTGCCCCTGCCATACATAGATAACGTACAAAATAACTCCTTTTAAGTTGATGTAAGAATAAAAGCACACAGATAGGTTTTTCACCTCGTTTTGATCAAAATGGGTCAATAATGTCTAGCTGACAGGCAACAGAAGAAAAACCTTATTTTGGTGGTCGTTCCTCCAATAATGTGACCTTGAGTAACAGATCTTTACCTCTTAAATGACCTGGAACACAATAACCCAAAATGAGTCACGCTTACTGAAATGCATGCCTAGTGCATCATAGTTCTTCACTGAGCAGACGCCAAAATGAAAAACAGGGCATTATCTCTGAGAATGCAATTTCCTGATGCCACTCCTCTGCTGGGCTATTTATTGTAGGCAATTTCCTTTTACATACAGTGAACAAAACATTCAATTTCTTTCAGGAATACCACCAAGAGAGCATCAAGTGACAGGTAATTAGCCACAGAACTGGAAATAACAGGACCCAAACGAGCTTGGGTTAATTATTACACAACTGTTGGCCAGATTAGGTGCAACCTTTTGTGCAGTGTGTCTTAAAATGCTGCTACGCTTCACAGTTGGTCAATCTGGCTGTTAGTGGGACCCCCTGGTTTTGAGAGCTTGTCAAAGCCAGACAGCCCTTGCTAATGTCTTCCTGCGGGTGACTCTTACAAAACACATTCACAATGACACATGCCAGACACACACCACTACACACTCTTCCCCTGTCCTGTTGTGTGTGTGTGTGTATCTGTGTGCTTAAAGCAAATATCTGGTTCCACTGACTGTTTATTAGATTTTTTTTTTTGACACCTCATAAACACTCTTCTAAATAAACACCTTCACTTTACTTTGAAATTCCTGGGAAATAATTCTCCAGTATCAAAACAATTTTTTAAAAAAACATCTAAACTGCTGACAGGACATATGACATAGAAGACAACCTATCCATTGTGATGTTACAAATCCCTAAGGAGCTAAAAAACTGAGAAACCCCTAAAGGATTACAATCTATAAGTGCAGAATTGGAGCAGAGATAGTGGAGAGGAAGAGGATGAGTGGAGTGTTTATTTGCCTCTGTACGCAGAGTGATGTGTCTGGAATACAGAGTAGTGTGGTCTAACAGTCTAAATCTTCCTCAGTCCCTGAAATTGATACAGGTGGTACAGGATTTCCTAAGCTTAAATGATAGTACTGGGTTGAATGAGCATGCACCTTTCACAATTGTGGGTTATGTTGTTTATACTCGTACACTGTTGTGTCTGCGTTTTACTGACATGAGTCATGAGTGAAAGCCAATTAATCTTTAACAATAGTTAAATTAACTGGAATTCAGAATGGGGAGAAGACTGTAGGACTTACTGAGTCTATACACAGATTGTTACACCTGTCAGAAGAAACAAACACAAGCTAAACTGGCAAATTATGAGTTACTGCTTCAGTCTAATGAGGAAGCTAGCCACAATTACAGTCTATTACATTATGTTTCACAGAGGTATAATCCTTCCACTAATCAATACCACATTTCATTACCAAAGAGTTATTGAGATCTGCTTTGCTGTGATGTGTAGCATTTCTGGAAAGGTGCTATGGCATAGCTACAGTTAAGATTTAGTGCAGTACTATAAATCAAGCATTGCATAGACCTGGTGACTCTGGCCACAACACTTCACAGAGACAAAGAGCGAATGAAAATGAGAGCAGCAGACCAAATTGGGCAGGATGTTGGTCATGTTGGTAATGAAACTTGTTTTCCACAGTAAAACATTTGAACGCAAGAGATTCATATAGTAGACTGTCTGCTGGGGAAGCCGTGTTTCTAAAAGTCAGACACGACTTGCAAAAAATAAAGTTACATACTCAGTGGTGCTCCAAAGAGTACGGTGTCCAACGATTTGAGCTGCAACTTTTGCACATGGCTTCGATCCAAAATCTTCAGAATAGAGAGTGTCAGAGTGGTGTTCTTTACAGCAAGCCTGAAAGAGACCAGACGTGCATTCATTTCGCAGGAAGAAAGCGGGACACACACACACACAGAGACACACACACAACAATGAATGTAATGTGATCGCTTGACAAGTCCTTAATTCATCAAAGGTAAACTAAAGTAACCCATATCAAAATAAAACAGATCAACAAGGACAGCCAATTTAATGACTTTAAAAAGTTGTATTAAGTACATAAAAATATCTCCACAGTAATAAGTAAACCAAGACACGTTATCACACACAGTGATGTGTGGGGTTCATAGATCTGTTCAGTTTGAAAAAAGAAAGAAAGAAAAATACAGTCATGATGATGTCACACCTTGGCATGGCACTTCCATTGAAATTCATCTTGCGAAATGCATCCACATACTGTGGCAGCTCCACATAGTTGATGAGCCATTCCACCACCTCGTCCACTGTCCAATTATACACTGTTGGCAAAAAGAAGAAACAAAACATCCACTATAATTACAATTCTCAGTCTTTATTTTGCACCACATTAGTTGTTCCCAAAGCGACAATTATTCTTTCTGTAGTCCAAAATATAAACACTATAAAAAAAAATCCAATCAAACTACAGATAATGGATCAATTATTTACAATGAAAAGTACTTCCTTCAACTCGTATAACAACCCACAAACAATAAAAAAAATGTGACAAATACATTCTGCTAGTAAGATGAGTGTATTAGTAATAAGAGAGTGTAGCTGATTTATTGGTTGATCTTTGCTTCCACCCTCACCTATGAATATGTGTACTGGGTAGTGACCAAAAGAGTTAAACTGCGATGGAAATGAGCTTCCACCATTGATTCGCCGGACTCAACCTTAAAGATAAAGTGAGGAGCTCGGCCATTCAGGAGGGGCTCGGAGTAAAACTGTTACTTCCCCACAGTAAGTTAGGAATCTTTGGGCAGCTGACCAACATGCCTTCCCAGACACCTATTAGGTGAGGTGTTCCATGCATGTGCTACGAGGAGGAGGCCCCGGGGCAGACCCAGGACACAAGAGAGATTAGATTTATGGTTTGGCTTGGGAATGCCTTGGTGTCCCTCTGGAAGAGGTGGAGGAGACGAAAGTCTGGGCATCGTGGCACAAACTGCTGCCCCAGGATTAAGACCCAGACACATGACAGAAAATGGATGGATGGACATTCTGCTAACAAATGTCATGATTGATATTTATGACAACATCAGAACTTGAATCAGTCTTCACAGATAATGATTAATTGTAACTCAACAGGATTTCCTTTCTAAAACACCCTGCTTCTAAATTAAAATACCCCATAAAAGCATGTCTGGCATTATAGCAGTGTTTGTCACTAGTGTTAGCTGTGAATACATATAAGATATATAGGATTTCTATAACCACAAATGTTCCAGATATAAAGAACAAATTACATGCCAGCTTGTCCTCCAGCCTCATCCGTTCTTTCTGTTTATTTTTATTTTATGTTTTATTCATTTTATAATAGTAGAATTCATATTTATTCACATGTTTCATTGAGAGAACTCAATAAATAGCTGCAGTATATTTTACTGTCTTGCTATTTTCTAACACAACTGTTTTAAAAGAGAAACTTTGACTGTAATCTTTCACTGTGTTTGAGGATGTTCAAGGAATCGTCCTTGTCAGTTAGATTGCTTTATTTCCTAAATGGATGACTCAGCTCATTCTCAGCTCTCTTCTCATGTGGTGTTCCCCAGTGTTCAAGTCTTGGTCCTATTTTATTCTTCATCTAAGGCCTTCCATTGGGCCATCCACAAATACAGTGCTAGCTTCCACTGTTATGCAGATGATACACAACTTCTAAAGATTCAAGGAATCATGTGGACAGCTGTAGCTTTCCAGCGACTTATTTAAGAGTCATGTAGCACAACAGTTAATCAAAGCAATCCAGAAAGGGAATTACACTTCCTTTTTCACGCCAGCAGTTGGTTAGATGACCTCGAATAGTTTCACTTGCTTAAAAACAGACTGAAGGCAAAATATATATAATTCTGAAACCAGAAATAATTAAAGCATGTTTGAATATAGGGCAGCAGAGATTCAAGAGGGAAGAAACCAAGTGTCTCCTAATGTCTGATTCATAGACCTCAGGCAGTCACAACATCTGAAACTAAGTATTAACTATTACTGTAGCAAAAGCTGGAGTAATTTAACCAATGTTCTCCTTTCTAGCTACACTGTAAACACTGTCAAATTAAAGCTGAGAAACAGCTGTAACCTCATAAACATCAATTCATTTCAAATCTAACACTTGCAGCCGAGAAAAAACGCATCACTATTGCAACTGCATAATACAGGTTGACACAAAATGCATTGTTTGACTGTGTGCATACACATCCTGAATGATCTACGAGATCCCCGCAGCATAACATGCTGACAGGAATAATTGGGGAAGGCAAATCTGATCCCCAGCACCTGGCAGAGAGTCAAAACTGTGAGTTGACTAAGTTAATACATTGCTCTCTTGTACAATAACCCTGTTTCCTTGCTCAGAACCTCTAAAACTTTGTCAAGAAACTGCAATGCAGAGTAAGTCAGTACTGTGAACAAAACTGTGGGAAAAGCAGTCAGAGGAAAGGGTGCTCAAAGGTGAGTGCCACATACAGCACATGAAAGTGCTCTGAGTGAGTATAATAGAATGGACATAGAAAGAAGTGTGACTGAATTTTGTGCTGACAGCTTCAACGATCTTAACTCTGGGCCACTCTGGCAGAACAGTGCACTTTGCTTGGCATGCAATCTTATCAACTACTTTGTGCCTTTGTTAATTGAGTGAAAGGGTCAAGCATGGATAAGATGTAACACACACTTTCAGTCAGAGGGAAGCACATAAACCTTTATTTACAGGCATATAAAAGCTCTGCCATTTTCTGACTGGTAATCAAAGTCACTAATACTGCTTCATTAAAAATGAAAATCACTGGTACAATATCAAACATTAAGTAGTGGTTGGAGGTATTGAGTGTGCAGAAAAAGGTTTACAACATACAACTCTACATAGAAATAGATGTGAAAGAAAGGCCTTTTTTGCAACAAAACTGTACCTGCAGAGCCCTTCCATGAATTCCACAAGTCCTCCACACTGATGAACTGGTCATCCCCATGGAAGCTGTTATGTTTGGCCTTGGGGTCATGGTAGTTTAAATCTTCTCTCAGGAACTGCAGTATGACAAAGACATATTTGTAATGGCTACAAACAAAAACCTTTTACAAGACTTGCATGACAAAATAGCTACACTTGTTAAAACATTTGTTTTACAACTGCAATTCCACCACTGAAACTGACACAGTGCATTCAAAACTTTGAGCACATCTTTAAGTCCATAAAGTTGGCTTTGAAAGATGATGCCTTTGTATATCAAACTTAGTTGCTTAATTGAAGTGGTGTGAACTTTGTAAGACAAAAATCAGACCCATTGTAATTGGTGCCATGTTCTCCAAACTATCTAAACAAATGTTGCTGCTAAAAGCGGCAAGTGTCATCAAGAGTGAAAGGAAAGGGCGTGGCACCTTATATTACCTTGTTGATGTTGTTCCTACAATGCAATATTGCTGTAGGGCAATCACTACAACTAAGGTATCGCCATTTTATCATATGATAGCTTTGGAACTTGGGAAAAATGCACATGCATGGTTCACACCGAGAGTGAAAACGTTAAGTCACAAACCCCATATGAAGATGAGGCTGTGGGGAACAAACGGTGAGCTCTCAGTTAGGGTTTGTTTACATTTAGGCAGTAAAAGTACTTGGCTATGTTTAGAACAATATCATGAGTTGTGTACAAAACATTAGCCATACAATTTAAAAAAAGAAAAAAAAGCCTTTCAGACAGAATGCCATGAGGGCAAACTTCTCATGTTGCAAATCTGTGACACCACAAAACATAATCACTTCTAATGAAACCATTACTACAAAGAGGTGCATTGCTTTGTGACAATGCGGAAAGACCACATTTGTAAATGGTGTTTAGGGTTTCTATTGATTGTGAGCACTGTGACCCATTTCACTGCTGTAATTGTTAATCCATCATTTTAGTGCAATTAAATGCAACTCCTGTGGGATATATCCATTGCCTTCACTCGCTTAACATGAAATAAAACATAATAAATACCTCATCAGGGATTTCCCCTCATTATTTAATTGTGCAACACAGAATGCCATTCTCAGTTCTGTTCAAAACTACTATACATTTAATCAGAAAAACAGCTTTTTTTGTATTCCTTTTAGAATAAGACAGTGTCATGCTCACTAAACTGTACCAAAGACTGATCATAATGTAAATTCCACTTGCACTCTCACTGAAATGGTAATTGTCCCTCACTGGCTTTTGGAACCACATTGCTGATTGCCCACTGTATTGTAGGCTAACCCACTCACCAGGTTTTTAAAAATGAACCCTACATAACATCTAGCACTCCCACAAAAGCAGAGTCATGGGTGAAAGACAGTAATAAGTCATGATGCCTTTCTTTCTTGATAGATTTGTGTGGGAAGATTTCACTACAGTGCAGCAAGATGTCTCTGCTGCAGGTGAAATACTGCACTCCCGAACATATTCAATGGAAAATTAGCAGGACCTGTATAATGTGGCAGAGTCACCAAGGTTACTGGTAAGAGACCAGATGTACACTTTCATCTTGTTCGTAAAGAAAACAACTCTCCACCTTATTTAATTACTGTATGATTAACAAGAAAAAGAGTGTTGTCTTGAAGTACTCTTCATCATCATTTTGAGCTTTCCATTTCTTGGCTAAAAGCCACTACACATATGATTGCTCACTGTGCTTCTCTTCATTATTTGCTTTAGGGGGGTTGCATGCCAAGTGCCCCTCTTAAAAGCAGTGATCGTGCCACCTGCTTTGATCTGGCCTCAGCTGCATAACACAGACTGAGCCCGAACCATACCTGAATCAAGTCACCAGAGGCGGCTTTCTCGAGGCCAAAACTTGTAGTTTACACTAAAGCTTACAGTGCAACATTACAGTACTGTACATATGCATATATAAATTTTTTTTTCAGTTTTGCTTATAATTCATGCTATTGAGGAGAACTACTGTACTGTGCAGTATTACTCTACCCTGAGCACAAAGCAGATTGTAGCTTCACAAATCCCCTTTGTGCTACATTTTTTTAAAGAAACTGCAGCATAATTGTCTACAAATCGCAGCAAGTTACAACAGGATTTAGTGCAAGAAATACTCTCCCACACCACACCCATCTTCATACTAGGCCTTCATTTGCATGTGTTGTTTTAGGACTGTCTTTTGCATGGTTGTGATTCTACTGTAATGACAAAAGCTGTCAAGAGTATTCAAAAATACCTTTGTGTCAACTCTAACAGGCAAGGGTGGAAAGAATACCAGCTATGCTTTCTAAGCCAGTAAATACACCAGGTTAATTATTTGACAAGGGAAAAAGGTATATTAGCAAGAGCACTGGAGTGCAACAGGATGAACCTACCAGTTAGACAGTCATTATCTGGCTACCTTTGGAGAAAAATCTATAAAATTTTAGATGACAGAGGGTTTAAAGTAACAGCATAGCCACTATATTAGGTACACTCATTCAACTAGGGCTGGGCCATATCATACCGTTCATGGTAATACCGGTACAATGTTAGGCAACGATAACAAAATAAAATATTGCGATAGAATATGGGTAAAACGCGCATGCGCAATGCCTTTGTTTTCATATGCACATGGCGGAAAAAGCATGGCGGCGACGGAGAATGAGAAGGGCGAAAGCGGATCGTTGAATGAAACGGATGAACCAGAATTGGTTTGTAAAAATGCTGCAACTTCAGTGGTGTAGAACTGGTTTAGCTTTTGTCCGTCAGATACACAACAAAGCACTATTTTTGGTAGAGCATGCTAGCGGACCGTCATTATTACCGTGTTTTTTAGAAAATACGGCACACTTAAAATCAATCCTTTGATTTTTCTGAAAATCGACAGTGCCCCTTATAATCCTGTGTGCCTTATGTATGAATTCTGGTTGTGTTTACTGACCTCGAAACGATTTTATGTCGTACACGGCGTTC